TATATAATTCTGGGGCAAGATTCGGCCGAAATCCGGCCGCACAACAACCAAGACGCAAGGGAAAAGGTAAGGGTTGAAATATGGGTTATTCTTGTCGGGAACAAACCTCGCTACAATATTATTTCGTGTTTCTTTGTAATGATACTTTATTTTAAGAGTAGTTTACGAAATAAAAATGTTGAAAAGTTTCACGAATTTTAGAGCTTTCAGATTTAATATAAATCTAAGGTGTCGGCATTTTCAAGTCCATCTTTTATCTTTAGTATTTTTAAACATGTTTATCATTACTTTTAAGTCTTTTCTGTTTATCACTGGGATAAACGATGAGATTACCGCGCCCATTTCTTCTAAGGAGTAACTACAAATCCTGTTAAATAGTATAATATAAGGCACTCATAGGCACTCGCCTGACCGACAATAAATAAGGCAAGGTATGCAGCGTACTCGCGAATGCACCGTGTACCGTACACTGCGTGCACGTGGATCTGGGTCAGTCGGCGCGCCGACGTTCTAGCACTGCTTAGGAATTAACACCTAATGTGAAACATAATTCCATTTATTTTTTGACCGACTTCCCAAAAGAAGGAGGTACTCAATTCGTCTGTATGTTTTTTTTTATTTTTTTTATGTGTGTTACGGCATAACTCCGCCGCTAGTGGACCGATTTTGACAATTCTTTTTTTATCCGAAAGGTAATGCTTGCAGGTGGGTCCCATTCTTTGTAATTAAAAACCGATTAATCTTTTTTTAACATTTTTTAATAAATATGTTAAAATTCGGTTTGGTTTCGCATATTCGATGTGATAGTTGAAGATATAAAGATAGAGAAGAGATAACTGAAGACAGACACATTAAAAATACACAGATATTTGAGTCGATTTCAGACTGGGGGTAGTTAGTAGTTAGTAGTTACATTTGTTACGGTAACTTGTTACCTTAATGCTATAGTATTATAATTGTTACGGCAACATTTCGCGATAGAGAACTACGTAACAATTACATCAAAGCGAGGCGGAGGCGGTCGGAAGTGAAGCCAGTGTTGCAGAACTCACGATTTCATTTGTAAATTACTTCAAATTCCTCCGCGGGCGAGCTCACAACTTTCTCACTATTGTTCACTATCATATTACTATGTAGTTTTAACAAATTATCCGAACAGCACAAGTCAACAACATGTGTAGCCTGGCGGTGTCGTGGACTGTATAAAATTTGGGTTTGGCGTATTAAAACTATAGAGTTTGGACTTAGGAATCACATTTACCTATCTATTTCTTCTTTATGGCCTTCCAGCAGCAGACCAGTGTCGAGTAATCACCTTGATTCGCATCACAATCCAACTCAAATGTCATAGACATTTTTTTGCACTTATATTTTAAAGTTGCAAGCAACAATATTAAATTAATTTTCAAGATTTCTAAAACTAAGTGAAGGTACAAAACTATATCTGTAAATTCATTACTTTATAAGAGGAAATATATGTATCAAAATGTTGTCCGAAGTATACATGTTTCAAACTTACACAAAAGTTGAATTCAATGTATTCAAACAAACTGAGCCATAACGGGTTACATGACGCGTCGGACTATGTTATTCCATTGTTACCTCTGTGAACATCATAAAAGCCTGTACAGTCGTTACTATACAAAACTAAAGCATGTTTGCAAATAAAAAAAACCCCGGAAACCAAAAAAGGTAATAATTTTTTAAACTAAAATTACATTTCATGTTTCGAATCGAAATTATATGTAACAAATGAGTTAACAATTAAGTACAAGTAACTCTCGTTATCGTTCTCGTTTACTCTGAAAATATTGTTTTTTAGACCGAAAACAGACTAAACGTTAAATTATTAAGCCAGAAAAAGGTCCTTTGATTTCAATATTAACAAGGGCTATAGTTTTCAATTGTATTATGTCAACCCTGAAACGAATAAAATAGGCGTTACCATGCAGTTTTTAAAATTTGTAAAACTCAGCGTGCGCTCGCGTGGAGTTAAAACGTATTGTTTGCGCATTAAATGGAATTGACGTTCTCTACTCTCTACTTACTATATTTATATTAAAAAAGGTAGATTTGCATTCAAATTTAGTATTCTTTAACTGTCGATTTATAATCGGCCATGAGACAAAAACCTTGAAGGTTTACCTTACATCTACCTACTTATGGCGTCGCCACGTCCTACGCATAAATACAGGATTTGTTGGAAGTGTGAATTTGTATGGTTTATCATGAATGTGTGAAGTGATTATTGTCGCTAATGGTATTGCGTAAAAACCGTACAATTTTGTATGGAATTTTTTAAATATAAAAAACTAGACTACTGTAGACTCTACTATATTCATTTTAAATGATTGTTGAAGGAGCGCAGCCACCAAATAGGTAGATTAATTAAAAAACACAAACTGAATGGAATGATTTTAAAAGATATACCATAACTACACCATTAAAATGCACGTTTGTCTAAACGTGACACTTAAAAAGGGTAAGTGTGTCGTATTCTCACAACACATTATATTATCTGTTACGGTGCATGCCACCGCCACTCGACGGTAACGCCAGTGATGCGTGAGTGGCCGCAGCGTACTACTAGTTGTAAAGTGCTATAAAGCCAACGCGGGGTTAATGGCTGACAAACTGAATTACTTCTGCATCACGGTTATTGTCACTATCTATTTGAAATGTATTAAAACATCCGCAACTACTGCTGGATGGATCATTTTTTAGTTTCAAGTTTTTATTAATTTCTTACTAATAACTGTTAATAAATATTGATGCATGTTTTCAAAATAACGAATTAAATAAATCTTTCAAGAATGTTTCAGGCAATCTTACTTGATTTTATTGATATAGAATCAGTTGCGAGCGATGGCAAGACGTTTCTCGCCAAATTGATACTCTCCATGTCGATAGTAACAAAGTAAATAGAAATCTACTTGTAAGAAGCCTTTTACTGGCCCCACGTAGGCCACTATTAATTCTATTTGCCGAGCTGGGGAGCCGGGGAGCTGGGGAGAATGATTTATTGCGGCCGCCGGTCGAGTACATCCTTGAGAAATTATGCTCGACGTGTGCAAAGATTACATTTGTTGGTTAGTTTGCGTTTTGCTTTTACGCAATTAACGTCCAATGCCCTCAAATCCAGTATTTGTTGTTATCCATTTAATCGTTATTATATGACTTTAAAACACATTGCTTGTACATAATTTTTTCCAATGTTTTAAAAAGGTAAACAAGTGTTTAAACCTTACCATGTGCCAGATTTTTTTAACATTTACTTTGTTCAATTAAAAATCATTTAACTCCTAACTCGGCTCCTTTAAATGATTAACTAAACTGTCCACAAAGCAAATTAAAAATGTACAATGTAATAATCCGCATAATGTAACGAGCGTCTATTAAATGCTACAACGTTTAATCGCGCTTTCGAGGTGAATCCGCCAATTAAATGGCGTACCTTACTCAAATATTAAATTCCTGCCGACAACGCGGCGGCTGCCTTCATAAAGCAATTATAAGTACCCTAGACTACAAACTATAACGTCGATCTTAATGGATAAAATTAGGAGAACTACCCATCACGTGCGTTATTACTTACAATAAAACTTGTAATTCAAATTCTTCACATAAAATCCGAGTTAGAAAATCCTTTATACTAAGAATTAGTGAGCTTTTAAATTTGATTCACGCTATTAAATTTTAATAAACACCTACACTATTCCACACTAATAAAGTGCAGATGTAGCCGAAGCCGAAGGTGTATTAGCTCCCATAAAACACAATTTCATATATGGAAAACCAAATTAAATTCCACCAACCAAACTTCTGCTACACTTTGGTGCGATATAGGGTAAGTACAAGTTGCATTAGCTTGTTTTAGGTTCAAATACAAGCTGGAAGGGGTATTGCTTACTAGCCAGCAGAGCCAGCGTGTGACGTAAGCACTTGACATTCATTCGGAACCGCGCGACCTCTGCCTGCTAATTAGATATCTCCGGAGAGCCGCCCACGACCCACCACTCTTGTCATGCATATACATGAAAGTCAAATGAGCTATTTTTACTTCCTTTTATTTTGAAAGAAACGATCACATTGGTAACCTTTTAAGATTGTCCATCTTGTCCAGATTTTTTTATACACTTTTTAATCCATTTTGATGTACTCTCTGTACCTTCTATTGGTTCGGATTCACACCTATATTCACACCAGTGAATTACGCATTTTAAATAGAAATTTAATGTTTTGATTTTCTTATTGGTTTCTCATTGATATTTAACTTAGTGTCAACATATCCACAAAATTTGGATTATCAAATGTAATCCAAAACCCTTAATATAAACTACATCTAAAATTCGAAGAATTAATGTACACCAGCAACGTTGCCTTGTAATTGGGCGAATCTCGAGCAAGATCGAATTCGTAATTTAAGGTCCTCTTCTAATTATAAAGGCGCTCAAACGTCTCCGTGATAATAATAGGTGTGTAGGTTTGACATACAAATTACAAATCATTGTTTAGTTCTACGTTTTCCTGGACATGATTGAAACCTTAAACGCCTTAAGCGTTTATCTGTGCTTAGAGCGTTAATCTCCATATAAGTAATGGACAGGTACATTTCTTCACGTAACAACTCTCTTCGTTACATTCAAAGAAATCAAATAGGAAACAAACTTTCAATTACAAGGCAGTAGAAATTGTTTGTCCCTTAAACGAGGAGAAATTAATAATAGATCGTGTTCCGAATGATAAGCGCCGGTTATGGTACATTTATTGTGTGTCGAATGGCATTTAGGGTGTTGATTGACGTTAAAAATTAACAACACACCGTCCAAACGATAGAATGTCGCGACCATAAGCAATGGTTCACTTTTATGGAACGCAAGTTACGCACAAGGAATAAAGATTGCGAAAGTCCTGTTACTGGCGACTCGGTGACTCTACCTTAACCTCCATTCCTTTGCTATTAAAAAAAAACATGCAAGTAAATCAAAGCAACCTCTTACCTTTTACGCGACGTTCGTCTTCATAATTACGTTAAGATTAATCCTTTCACGGAACAAAAAAACACCAAAACACTTTACAAGCACAAGTTATGACGAACAAAAACTGCGTTACGTTAGAACATAATGTAACAAAAACCCGCACATTTTACACATAAATTTCGGCTGTTAATAAATAAACCAGCACAATATTTAAACAGATGTGTACATATTTTCGTTGACACGATACTGGAAGTTTGGCGCGGCTGTAGGCGCACCGCCGCCCGCGAGGGAATCACGGTACTAAACTGAACCGGAACCATTACGTAGTTTGTTTGGTTCGTCTATACCACTCGCCTTCCCTTTCTAACAAGAATATTATTTTCGAAATAAACGCCATCTAGCGCTGGCTTCTATCCCATACTTTAAGTATAAAAGCCATAATCGCTTACGTACGGAATTGTATGCAAGATGACGTTGTAACAAACAATAGCGTTATAATATCTATACAACTAACATATCTATACTCTACATAATCATCTCTCTCTTCCACATTGAAGAAACAGTAGTAACAATGTTTTTCAACCTGTTTTGAACATAAACCATTCTAAAACAAAACGGATCATATGAAACAAAGATACAAAATATATATTTACTGCCTTAAAAGTTAATTATTGTGGTACAATCATCATCTTCCTCCTTATTCTACCCCAGTAGATTTGGCGCAACAAGTTTTTGTCCTCCACATATGTAACTCATCATGTCACCTTTTACGCAATCCATTCATCTTTCTATGTCTACCTCTGCCGATGTACCTGCACACTCATAACTAACGTTATGTCACATGCGATTCATCCCTCCTCATAACATGCCCATACCATATTATGGTACAATGTTATTATAAAAGTGAAAAGGATCAGTGGTAGAGTCGCTTTAATATCTTCGCACCAATGAGTCGACTCGCCCGGTGCAATACCACCACAAATAATTCGTCATCACAATTCATCTGATGACTGCTCGCTTGAGGCCTAATTTTAGCCCTTTCCCTCTCTTAAAGTAAATGATGGGAAGGGAAAGTGGATTTGATGGTGGAGACGTATAGGACCTTCATTTATCCTCTTTATGTGCGTCTCTTTAACCGTCTATTAAGGGTAGGTAAGACATTTGCAATTGCGGGTGTCTATGGGCAGTGGTGGTGGAAAAAAAACTTTTATGCGTAATGTTAGAGGCACCAAAAGGATTAAGTTTAGAAGAACTATAGAAACAGGTATTTTGTTTTAAACCATAATGGTTATAGTTAAATTGTTTATACCCTCTCTTAATTTAAAAAGTAAAAAATTAAATGAATAAAAACCTTGGCTTGCTGATTAAACGGTGCTCCTGAATTGAGTGGCTCCTTACGAAGTTGTCTGTTAAGTACTCTTGAAAAACGCAATCCGAATCTCTCGTGTAATAAAATTATGCAATTTTCTAATTTCATTTTATATCGGAGTATTTCCACACAAGACAGTACTGAGAAACATAACAGAAATAAAAAAGCTTAAAAAGTACAATATGTGATATTAAGTATTGATTTTTAGTAAATTAAGTGTTACTTTAAATCAATCAGAATATATTATTATTAGGGAGACATTTTTCACATTACTTTACAATGAAAGTCCTGGTTAAACGCAACAATCGCCAAAGCATAGATTGCAAAATAACTACATATAATTCTGACAAAATACACTACCTATAAATTATGCTTCAGGCTTCAATTTCAAGTTAATTATATATTTACATATTTATCTTGATAGGCAAAAATGACCTGTACAATACACTAATAAATGCAATACAAGCCTAAAACAAACATTATGGAAACTCCCACTTCTCTTCATAGCTTGTCAAAAAAGGGAGTTACAGAACCCAACAAAATCAATCTTCAAAAATTAAAAAGGAACTTTTTAGTGAAATTTAAACAGAAGTTAACTTGAAATAAAACAACCACATCATTGAAAAATATTTTATTTTTGTCGAGGAAATAGATTGAACCTAAATTTTAAATGTTCTTAATGTAATGACACTTTGCATGAAAGTTCTGATTCAGTCTGTTCTGATACCACTTTTAACATTGTACTGCCTGATATAACATTCTTCGGTTCAAAGCCAGAGTTCACCCAAGATTCGAGCACATCTGTACTTGGTAACAATGTCCGAAGTGTATTTCTAACATAAATGTATGCTTGAGGTGAATACTTATAAATACTAAGTGCAAAATTCTTCAAATCGTCCGTATGTCTGGTCGGCATTGCCAACACCAATCCATTTGTATCCTCTTTGATTTTATCTTGCAAAGAAAGGAGAATTCTCGACTTTTTCTTTCTCTTCTGGTTCAATAGATTCTTTTTAGTTTCTATAACTTTTTTCAAACGACCTAGAAATCTATTCTGTCTGTTATATATTCTCATATTAGTTTTCAACTTGTCTCTAAGGCCGATTGCTTGACGTTGCATCCTTTGGACCTCTGTGAATAGTTTCAACAACTCAACATTTTCTTCTTCGGAAATGTTTTTGTCATTTGAGTTTGTTACATGATTTTTATTTGATTTATTATACTGTTCCTCATCTGAATCCATTTCATATTCCTCATCATCATCATCGTCATTGTCTAATGTTTCCTCATCAATGTACTCCACCTGAAGGCAATGGTACATATTTACAAATATAAGAAATAATAGGATTATTTTATTTAAGTTGGCAAACAAACATTGGCCACTTGAATTCTTCATAATAGAGAAACAACTGCTGCTCATACACAAATGCAATGCTAATCTGTAATTGACTCGGGAGTGGATTACATAAAAAGGACATTTCCCTTTCCGATGTACCCTCTCTATCAAATCCACTTCTCATGCAAACAGGATTAAAATAGGTTCTGACGAATTAGTAGAAATCAGAAAACTATTATAATATGGAAAGCATTGCTAGGACCCAGCAATTATTAGGCACACCGGTACATTTTAAAAACTACAGGATTCATCCAAAAGTTAATTGAAAAATTGTCAGCCAGATCTGATAAAATTAAGAATTCCATTAACTTTATTTTCCAACATAAATGAAATATAACTTTTTACCTCTAAAACATGATTAGGTAGTTTCAATGAAGGTACAGCTTTGCTTATGAGTACAACCCTATTTTCCGCATCACATTCAAAACAATCGACTGAGAAGTGTTGCACACAAATGTATGAATAGTCAGTAGGTGTCCAGTTGTTTCTGCCCGTCAGGTCCGTCCAGATTTGTCTTAGGTTTGCATCTTCTGGAAATCTATTAAGTATATTCTGTGATATATATTATTCTCACTGTAAAGTAGCCTAAGAGTTTCATATATATGTATGTATATTTTATATAAATTTGTTACAATAAATGGGTGTCTCATGATAATCGCGACTAGGTCTAGTGTGTAAATGCATATCATTAATATGGTCTTAATGAAGGTATTGGAGAAGGCCTGTCATACATAGGGCAGAGTATGGTTGAGAATGATGATTATAGTTTTCATATGCATTTTTCATTTCTGGAATGTCTAAGGTACGGAAGAACAAGCCGCCACTACTATCTCACCCCATTGATGAGAATGTTAGTATAGCATTATTTTTCAGACAAAATAAGAATATATGAAAGTTAAAAGATGTTTCTGAATAACCATTTAATTAAATCACATTTAATTTTTAAACTGTGAAATGCATAAATATAAATTATTTTACACATTTACAATAAATTGTTCAAAACTAATTACTCAATTCATTAGTTTACATGAGTTTCAAATAAAAGGTAAACAACTGGAATTTGAGGTTACATTTTAACCAGTTAAACTCCTGCATCGATTTTTTAATTTCTTACCTAAAGAATGAATCAGAGTTTAAAGATTTCGATTCCTCACATCCCAAAACTGCACAATTTTTCGTTATTTCAGTATCGGCTTCAGCATTCTGTTTTAGTTCGGGTGCTACCATTGCTGTAATTGATAAACATTTAGGTGAAGTATTTCTTCACCAGAATTAAAAAATACTTTTGTATCAGAAACTTTTTTACTTACCAACAGGAGTTGGCTTTGATTTATTATCTTCAATTTCTTTCATTTTCATAAGGCCTTGATTAAAATTCATCATTAAGAATTCGCAGCCGACATAAATTGGCGGGATTTCTACGAGAAGTATCGCGTAATTTTTATATTTTTAGCACTTAACTTCAACAATACATGACTTTGTAAAGTTAAAATAACCTTATTTATGAGTAATGTTAAAAATTACAACATTGATTTGATGAGACGCCCGAAACGGTGCCTGTGATAACAGGTTATAGAAGTAAGTTTACGAGCCATTTACATGCAAATACCTATATTTGTTCTTAATTTTCTCTTGTAACTACTATATCAATTGTAAATGCCACACAATTAATACCATTTGTAAAACCTTTTAATTAATTATTTATTCATAGATTCAAGATAAAATCATTTAATGAGAGTTTTCAGGGAATTATTTTATTTCCACGATTCCATCATAGACATTTATCTTTTTAAATTTAATGCTATTCTACAGATAATAGAAAAATGTTAACCATCCATGGTTATGACACAATCAATTTAAACAGAGATTCCCAAACTTTTTCTCGAAGACTCATAATGGCTTTGGTTGAAGTGCTATTGTACCACATTTCTTCTTACAAGTGTTAGTCTTCAGCTTTTTTCTTGCCATTCTATGCCACGACACTCTGACTGGTTCTTCCGTTTCGTGGACCACAGGGAATACTTGACCACACTTGATACCTGAGTTACTTTGAGAATCGCTGGAATAACACCAAATTGCGTAAAACGTTCAAACCAAGTTGTCTATAGCTAGGAAACGTCATGTGAGTCTATGACGTATGTTGCTTACTTTATCTGTGCTCTGTTTTCTATTTTCTGTGATGCAATGAAATGTCACACTGATTTCATTTCATTTGTACGCATAATTTTGACGATATCTTTGTCTTTTATTATATGCCCAGAAAATGGTTGACCCAATATTTGATTACCAATTTAGGCTCATCCTAATTGGCGATAGTACGGTGGGGAAAAGCTCCCTTTTAAAATACTTTACGGATGGAAAATTCGCTGAGGTGCGTATCACATACTGATGTTTTTGTCTTTGTGATTAAATTTTTATTTTAATTGTCAATTATATTACGCATTAATTTTAGCTCTCCGATCCGACAGTAGGCGTGGATTTCTTCGCTAGAATAATTGAGGTTCAGGATGGTACAAGAATTAAATTACAACTTTGGGATACAGCAGGACAGGAAAGATTCAGATCCATTACGAAGTCTTACTACAGGAACTCGGTGGGTGCTTTGTTAGTGTACGACGTATGTAACAGATCAAGTTTCGAGCACATACCATTGTGGATGATGGAAGCTAAGAGGCACATTGAACCACACAGACCTGTGTTCGCTTTGGTGGGTTGTAAAGTTGATTTAGTTGGTACAGACAATAAGAATGGTGCTAGAAGAGAAGTTACATGCGAGGAGGCCAGGATGTTTGCTGAGGAAAATGGTAATTAGTATTTTTTGTTATTTTTAAAACATTTATATATTAAATGTTGTCACTTGATAAGGTACATATGTGAATCAAGGTTAATCTACTTAACATAAATTTGCTTATATTATTCACTTGCATTGCAATGGTCCTTTTTTAATATTTAATTATTCCATGCATTGCTAAGGCTGTCATCCCTTTTTGCAAATTTTTAGACATTATTTACATATACAACATAAATTAGAACTTCCAACTATAAGATCATTTTTTGTATCTTAGGATTGCAAGTACTTCTAGACAAAAAATTTAAGCATATAACTAAAATTTGGAATTATTCCAGGTCTCCACCATGTAGAGACATCTGCAAAGACGGGTGTTAATGTTGAAGAGGCTTTTGTATTAGTAGCACAGGAAGTGTACAACCGCATCCAGAGCGGAGAATACAAAGTGGAAGATGGTTGGGACGGCATCAAAACAGGGTTTAACCGACCTAATGGTATGGATTTCAACTTACTTGAGGCGGAAACTGTCCAATCCACATGCTGCTAGAAAATAATGCCTGGTTCACACTTGGCTAATACAGTTGGACAGTCATGCAGGAAGTTTGTATGGACTATTAGTGTTTATTATGCCAGCTGAATGCCAGTCCAGTCATTGAACGCTACTGACCGAGTGTCTGGGCCAAGTCTGAATTGTGCATTTTTATTTTGTACATACTGACTTGTGTAATTAGAATAGTTATATATTACGTAAGTATAAATTAACTAAATAATGTAGATTTTTTTGGCACATTTGCAATGGCATTTGAGGATGCAACAGTTTTTGTACAAGTTATTTTAAAATTCACTAATAGGTTGCAGGGTTTATTTTATTTGATGTAATTTTATTTTCTCGATTTCAACACTGTTGGCATAATGGCACCTTATATACACAGAATGGCATAATGATGCATTCAATAAAATTGCAAAAGTTTAAAAAATTGTATGATCTATTTAAAAAATTGTAATATTTTTTTTAATTTGCTATATTATTAGAAATTAGTTATGATTTTATCAATTGGAATAAAGTTTTGGTATCACAAAGTGTCATCGAAATCTAAAACTAGGGATAAAACGAAATTTGAGTACACTTTAATGACAGTATGTCTGATAGAAATGCCTTGAAATTGTTATATGAAGCCTAAGATTTGGTATGTGACAAAATCTCAGATTTAAGTGCCATCTGATTAGATTCGGGCCCCTTTTTTATTTTTTTTTTTTCTCATCTAAAAAGCACAATTGACATAATGTCATTTTTACATCACAACCAAAGACATGATCACATATTTACATAATACGTAAATTTTTTGCAAATTGTTAGTTATTATTGTATATAATTTTATTTTTAACTATCATTAACAAGTTTCCCATCGAAAAGACTAACTTAAAAACAATGTTTTGACGTCTTTTGATTTATATTTTATATCCATCCAAATGCATAATTTTAAACATTTATGGCTACATTGAATCTAATTCAAAAATGTCTTAAATGATGAGTCTCCATTCATAACACATGTTTAAAAATTCATGGTAAGGTTTTGTTTTATTGATTTTATTTAAAAACTGTAAAACACGAATTTAGACTTGAATTAAAAATATTTAAGATTCAAATTGTTATTTTAAAAAAACCTTTGCCTTTGTTTACTTCAATTCTACTGTGAATTTAATGGGTATTCAGACCTTCAAAAATAAATTAGTGCTCAAAATTCTGAACAATCTGTTATAATATGGAATACGATGGTTTGTTTTTATATACTTATATTAAGCGACATTTTATTTATAAATGTACTACGTCATAACGCTGTTATAATGCTTGAACGCAGTAAAGTTTTTGTTAATCATTATCTCGTTTTAATTCGACCCTATTTAATTTTAATTGACCTGCAAAGGCGAGTGGATGGCCCAATTTCTAAACGTTATTGTCTCTTACCGGGAGGCAAAGGTGAGCCGATAAGAAGTCCGACACAGATTATACATTACGATCGAAATTAACAAATAAAGCTAATGGTAAGATCACATTGTCTTTTATAAAAAATGAAAATGAAAGTAATTGTCAAATTATAGTTTGTATTACAATTGATTCATATCAAATCAAGTTATCTTTAATAATTTTCTATGAACGACACGAGAACGAGGAAGTTCAAAGATAAGTGACGTAGTCGATTGCCTTGACCCGCCTAATATTTCGATGTTCAATGTTACTTGATTTTTTCATATTTAATATAACAGTGAGGAATTAAGTCCCACTAACTCTGCGAATCAAAACTCGATTGTATAACAGAATACAGAAAAAAGAAATCACAGTTAGATAGACATAATTTCCTTGTTACGTCACATCCTAATGTGTTTTCGTCGGCGGAGACTATTACATTATAATTGCGCGATGCATTACATGTCTCGGACGTAAGGAAACGTCTAGTTAAGTATCCTAATTAGAGTTAAATATATAACAGTACGAGGCAGATATATTTAAAGCTCTCAAAAAGTATTGTTTAGCAATGCGCTGGTACTACTGCTTGGTGGTTAGTGTTACGTGACCTAATTCGGAGGTTCGATTCCCTGGCACTTTTTTTACAGACATGTTTGTATTTCGAACTAATTTTTTGATCAAAGAATGGTTTGTTTTTGATGATAACTCATGTTATAATTTTATCAAATTAGGACAAGAAATAGAATTAAGACAAGTTTTTAGTCAAATGTTTTCTCGTGGACATAAACTTTGTACTCAATGACTAATTTGCGGCAGACAAAATAAAGTTATCGGATTATTAGCGCCTTGGAAGCCATGTAATGAGGCCATACGTCTGCTTAGCAATAACAAATGCTGGACTAAATTTTCAATGTGTAAGGTTAAGGTCACTAGCAAAAGTCGCGGAATTTGAACCGATGTTGGACAGACCATTGCGAAAAGTACTTAGCTGCCGAGAAAACGATTTACCAGTTGAATTTGATGCAAAATATAGTTTAAACACTGACTAAAGGACCATTTGAATTCACACAAAGTAAAACGCTGAATTTGGGTGTCTGTTGAAGTTAATTTCCTTTAGTTATTCTTTGAAATTCACTTGACTTTTTCAGTTGTGTCATGTGTCACTGTCAAATAAAACCAAGTGTCAGAGTCACAAAATAAAATATTTATCGATTTGATTTTCGTTCTTTTTACCAATAAACTTATTTCCTGGACTGTGTATTGAAGAGTTCTAACTGAACAATTAAATAATTATGTCATCTAGTCGATCTAAAACATCTTTTATAGACAAACCTTTAAGTAAAGGGAAAGGCGAAATTTCGTTAGCTTTATACGCCCTTTTATTTTCCGAAATTGTACAGTATTGTCAAAATCGATCGCATTCAATTCACGAACTCCAGACCAAGTAAGTTTTATATTCATAAGATATTATTTTTTGCATTCTATGCAAAATTAGCAATTCCTTGTCTTCTTTCGATTTTCAGATTATCGGAAATTGGTCAGGATGTAGGTACCCGGCTGTTAGACCTGTACTTTGTGAGAGAGCGGAACAGCAAGCGGGAAATAAAGTTGCTAAATATGCTCTTATTTGTCAAGTCTACATTGTGGAAGGTAGTATAAATAAATTCCAAAGTAAATAAGGTATACCTGTCATCTTTGGATCCCATCACCATTTATAATTAAGTTGGAATGTTTTGAAATAATACTTTATTTATAATAATAAACTGTACTTAAACAAAAATCTACCATATTTTATGGTAAACAACTGAACCACAAGAGTAAAGTCCAAATCATTATTTGTGTAACTTAATTTTTTTTCAGGTACTATTTGGCAAGGAAGCTGACAAACTGGAGCATGCCAATGATGATGAGCGAACTTATTACATCATTGAGAAAGATGCATTAGTGAGTTAAGCACATTGATATAAAGTGAAGAATGTTGTCTTTACAAAGCATATAATTTTTTTTATATTCCAGGTGAACAAATTTATAAGTGTGCCCAAAGACAAAGGCTCTCTGAACTGTGCCACATTTAATGCTGGCATTATAGAAGCTGTCCTCACTAAAAGTGGTTTTGTAAGTTTCCACTACAGATTATATGTAATGACAAATCTTTGCCTGTGCAGAACTTAAAAAATTATTTCATCAAGATGTTGTTAAGTTGTTTTGGAGATACATAACAAAGATCCATCCAAACTATCCCAAGAATATAAGTAAAATTAATAGTTTATGAAAACTTTCTTCAATGTTGCAATGATTTATTCACACAAATAATATTTGTTTCAGCCTGCAAAAGTGACAGCACACTGGCACAAAGGCACAACTTACATGGTCAAGTTTGATGATTCCGTCATAGCCCGGGACAAATCTCTGGATGACCGATAGTTTTAAGTACATCTAGTGTTATATTCTCTTAAAAATAAACGATTATCTTGTTAAAACTTTTCTTTTTTTATTTCTGCCACTAATTGGAAATTAAACAAATAAACTTCTACATACTTGAAATATAAAAAAAAAACAAAGCTTTAATTTACATTATTAGAGCTGTGGTCTAGTTAAAACACTTTGAAGCAATTTGCATTTACAAATTCAATGTAATTTAAAAATTCTGTCACGTGGCTTGAGGTTACCGCAACGACAATCTCTTTCAAACTGACTTCGTTGTCTATGCATAAAATATCCATAAATGAACATTGGTAAAATCCCTATCAGCCCGAACTGGATCGTCTTTGTATTCGCTTTGAAATAATCGTATTGACATGCCTTCATGGATAGCCAGTGTTGAAGCGCTGGGTCAAACTGAAAATGTCTTAAAATCATGAATCACAAATAATTTGAATAAAGACTCAAGACTAGTTTTTCGATTAGATTTTAAAACTACCCCCTAGGCAAAATAGTATTTGAATTACATTGCTGATATTAATGTTAAAAATGTATGGAATTAACAATAATTTTGTTCATTCTACTAGCAATATAGCTAATTGTAAGCCACTTCTCTAGAGTGGCTTTCTACTTACAACATGTCCTGCCTCCATACTATGTTTACAAGGATCAGTTCGCAGTCTTAAGAACTCTTTCCTGTATTTAGCTCTTCTTTCTATTTGGGCTCTAATTATTTGACACTCAGTTTCAGAAATCAATTGATCAGTCATAGTGATTATTTTTCTATTTAATTGCAAACAATAAAATTGAAAGTTGGTCCATCAATAATGACACTTTTATTTTTCTACTTGACACATAACAAAATATTGTAAAAGGCCGGCATTAAAACATGATTAGGAAAAAAATAAATAGCATATATACAACACTTTTACTAATAATAATTGTATTTAACATTTTAAGAGCTTAAGCAAGCTTAAACATTCTGTCCTTGTAACGGAGTTCACCACTCCTGATCTGCTGTTCCCGATTGTTGCGGTCATTCCAGATAAAGTAGCCATACACGAACATTGGTACTATGGCGCATACTGCAAACAAACTGTTCGACCTACTTGGTTTGAACTGATCGAAAGAAGTCGCTTTCATTGACAAAAACTTTTGAAGTGCTGGATCAAACTAAAACAAAACAAACATTTTAAGTAGAGTTATAGCTATTTAGTACAATATTTTGTTTTAAAAAATTACGTAATTCTATACTCACGACATAGCCAGCTTCAGCTGCATGTTTCCAAGGATTAGTTCTTTGTTTTAAAAACTCTCGCCTCAACTCGACCCGTCTAGAAGCCTGCTGTTGAATAAGCTTATACTGGGCTTCAGATATACCGTATTTCTCTGCCATTTTGGACAAAGATTTATTTAAAAATATACAAGTTATCAGAATGTTTTGACGTTTCGAGCACAGTGGTTTCGGTTCAGTTCGGTAGCATTGGAATTTGACATTTGAATTTGAACAAAAGGTGCAAACTTATAACTTTAAATGTTCAGGTGAACTTCAGGTGTAGAAACATTAATTTTTTTTACCTTAAATGAACATTTAGAACTATCGTGAATTACAACAAAAGTTTTTAAATTATTCCTTGTTCTATTCTATTCTACTTCTTGTTTATGACTCACCCACAGCGGATTGGGCCAGTGTCAAGTAATTATTCCTTGGATTACTATCAGATATAATTGATTTAAAAAAATATTGGTTTAAGTACATATTTAAGTTGTACCACTTCTTTTGTCGAATTTTAAAAAACCGGTAAAGATTGACAAGTGAGTTTTGGTTCGATTTGGACATCACTAGTTTTGAAGGATTGTGCTTCTTCCGGCCACCATCTTTTTGGTTTCTCTTGTTGTCGTTGTCAGATCGGCGAAATTTCTCTAAAACCGTAACCATGGGTCGTATGCACGCACCTGGGTAATTTTTTTATAATTTTATTCGTGAAATCCTTTAATATAAGGCACAATTAATTGCACATTTATAAAACAAAGTGTTTGCAAGTATAACCTAGAAATGTCCAGTTCACCACATGGCGTCTTTGAAATTGTGATTTTGTGTGTTTCAGTAAGGGTATTTCCCAGTCGGCATTGCCGTACCGCCGAAGTGTACCCACTTGGTTAAAATTGACCGCAGATGATGTAAAGGAACAGATATTCAAACTCGGAAAGAAGGGTCTAACTCCCTCTCAAATCGGTACGTATCAAACTTGCGTGTATTCCAAGAAAACTTTTATTTTCATCATGTAATTTTATACTCATTAATTAAATGAGACTAGGAGACTGATACTATCTTTATGCAGTTGTCATTACTTTTTTTAGATATACTAGAAAATACCAAGTATTTTTCATGTTTACAAGCATAATACTAGAGAGCATTCAATATTAACTTTATTGTAAGCTAGAAATTTTATGAAAATCCTTAGTAATTCTCGTTATTAATATATTGATTGCATATTCCACAAAAAACATATCTGGCTTATTAGACAAAGGTGATTACAAAGGCATATAAGCGCTCTATTAATGTGCCATAATATGCAAGACTATTGTTGTCTTGTAGATTTTCTGCAAAATTTGATTTTTTTCAATTTTTTTCATAATTAACTGCAATAGCAGTGCTCACCAGGTCAAATTTGCCAAAATATTTAACCAACTTTAAACCAGAAGGTTCTTAATTCAAGTGGTATTTTTTATGTTTGTACATCTATTATGCTGTGATCCAATTTGCGTAATTGTGTTTCAGTGTCTTGTAGAAAACTTACTGTTTGGTTTCATTTTTTGGTAGACGATGAATCAATACCATATTAAAGTTTATTTATAAATCATCAAAATAGTCCATTTAATACAAAGTATTAACAATTTATATCTTATATATAAAATTCCAGGTGTCATGCTCAGGGATTCGCATGGAGTTGCCCAAGTCAGATTTGTAACTGGCAAAAAGATCCTCCGTATCATGAAAGCCATGGGTCTCGCTCCTGACCTACCTGAGGACTTATACTATCTGATCAAGAAAGCAGTGGCCATGAGGAAGCACTTGGAGAGGAACAGGAAAGATAAGGACAGCAAATTCAGGCTCATTCTTGTTGAATCCAGAATCCACAGGCTGGCCCGCTACTACAAAACAAAGAGTGTGCTCCCTCCCAACTGGAAATATGAGTCAAGCACCGCCTCTGCTTTAGTGGCTTAAGTTTAAATAAACTATGAAAATCTATTCTGCTGTTTTAGTTCCTTTTAATTAAGTTTAATTTATGTAGGCAAAGGTCTAGTTTGTCATGGAAATAAATTCATCTGCAGCAATATGATAGCAATGCTGGATTCCTGGCAAGATGTTTACTTCATTATGCATGTTGGTTGTACATGGTGGTATAAATGCATTTTAATAAATTGGTTTTAAGAATTAGTTTCCTGTGAATCGTACATGTACAATATTGCTTTGCCATGATACAACCTGTGTTTTTTTTGCAAAAACCTTGAATTACGGTTACAAGATATATTTGTCCTCGCACAAATTACAACTTTATAATTATATAGAAATCAATGAATTCATTTTGTTAAAATAACACGATAAATTATCTGTGCCAATAGGAATTGAAATACTTTTATAATCTGTAAGTGAATGGTCTAACTTTAATTTTTCTATGGTGGCAATGAACTTGAAGTTCAAAATTTGAAAAGCGATCGACCGTTTGTGAATTAGGAAATGAGTTTTAAGTTTTAATTACAAATTCAATAAAAATAAAACTTTCATGCAGTGTATATAATTCATTGATATACGAGAAAATGTTATTGTATCGTGCTTGTTTTACAGTACACTGTGTAATGTAATGTAGTGTTTTTGTACAGCACCAGATATTAAGTTTACTAGTTTTTGGTGCTTTTGATGATGTTTTATATCTTTTTTTCCTAAAACATTGAATAATCTGGATCTCCCGTTACTGAGCATTTTCGAGGTTTTCTCTTGAATATCTTGACGTTGGCAAAATTCTTGGTTTTAGAATGTCATAGAAATAAAAAGTCAAACCGTTTGTAAATCATTATTTACATATTTCAATTTATTTAGCAACATGATAGATCAACGTATTTCCGATAGTGATGTATCCAATTGCAAACGAGACGTGCCCTCGTTTATTGAGCCTAGACCGCCTCTGATATCTAATCCATTCATGCGACCCAAGCCTCAGAAAGGCACGAACTTACTGGACTTGTTTGAGACCGATTCAGAAAGCGACGAACCTGAGCTGGTCCAAGTATACTTGAGGCTTAAACCGTGCAACACCCCCAGCAATCTGTATGAAGTGAAATCGGATCAATGCTTGGTTACTTCTCTGGACACATCTACAGTGGGCCACGGTCGACGTACACAGTACAATGTATCTAAAATGTATACTTTTTCTCACATTTTCGGACCTGAAACAAATCAAAAGGTGAGTATTTCATCTGACCAAATGAAATTAATAAATAATTTTAAATTCATTAATTCCATATTGAGAAAATCTTTTGCAGGAGTTATTTGAAAGAGTTGTTAAAGATAATTTGAAAAAGTTACCAGAGGGGCATAGCTTTACGCTGCTGACTTATGGAGCATCTGGTTCAGGCAAGACATTCACACTCATGGGCACAGTGAGCTCCCCGGGTCTGGTGCCTCGATCTCTGGAGTATGTGTTCCGAGTTGTAGATGCAGCTGTTAGACCTGTGTACAAGCCTGCTGACAATGGTGCAGAGAAACTTAGCCATGCATCACAGGAACATGAGCTACAGGTATTTGAATTTATTTAAATTGAGAAAAAAATATCTTTAAATTATGACATTCATAATCACTTATTCAAAATGTAAAATAAATTAATAAAAGTAAAAATAATTTTACTTTCAAATGGAAAACAGCTGGTTTGTCTTGTGTTAATCTTTTTATTAAAAAAATAATAATTTTTATATAATGTATAACAGTTTGTGAAGCAGCTGCGTCAGGTGTCAGTGCCGCTGCGGGATAGGTACCGTCGCATGAGCACCAAGCTGCACAGTGACTTTGCATCCAGCAATCTTGATTTGACCAACAGGATCAAGTATTATGTCTGGGTATGTAACACTAACAGAAAGATTTATAAGTGTGTGTGTGTAACATATTATCTAAATAATCATTTTAAAGGTATTGTAATATGAAGTTTTAATTTAGTGTTAATTTCAGGTATCTTTTGTGGAGATCTACAATGAAGGTATCTACGATCTGCTGTCGACTAACGACAGGAGCACTGCCTCCAAACTGGTAATTCGCGAGGACTCCAACGGGAATGTATATGTCAAGGTATGGTAGTGTGGTATGGCAGTAGGGTGTGTGTGTGTGTGCGTGGTGCGACACAGCGCGTGTAACAGCGGCGTGGTGGCAGGGCGCGACGCAGGTGTTCGTGCGCACGGGCGAGGAGGCGTACGACGTGATGGTGGCGGGCAAGCACAACCTGCAGGTGGCGGCGACGGGCGTGAACGCGCGCTCCTCGCGCTCGCACTGCATCTTCACGATCACGACGCTGGCGGAGGCGGGCGCGGGCTGCCGCGTGTCCAGCGTGCGGCTGTGCGACCTGGCGGGCTGCGAGCGCGCGCGCCGCACGCGCAACGCGGGCGCGCGCCTGGCCGAGTCGCGCGCCATCAACTCCTCGCTGCACGTGCTGGAGCGCTGTCTGCGCACGCTGCGCCAGCGCCAGCGCGCGCGCACCGACACCATCGTGCCCTACAGGTCGCCACTCACTACTGCTCCTTTCTTGATACTCGACACACTTTGCCTCGCCTTACAAATAACTAATCACATATTAGTAAGTTCTACAAAAGACGAAAAAAAAATCAATTACAGTGTAGCTTTACCTTTTTTTTTGTACAAACACACTTAAAACCTTGTGTTAGAATTGCGTTGCCTGCATGTGCAATGTGTTTAAAAGTTGAAACGACTGTAAATTTACCGTGCGCGTCAGGGAGTCGAAGCTGACGCGGCTGCTGGGCGCGGGCCTGTCGGGCGCGCGCGGCGAGGCGGTCAGCGTGGTGGTCACCGTCAACCCCGCGCCCGACTGCGCGCTGGAGACGCGCCACGTGCTGCAGCTCGCCGCCGTCGCCAGGGACATACGTGCGTACCTCCACCACCACACTCCTGCTTACAGGAACACCACCTGTATGATGTGTTTATTACAGAGGTGAACAACACGGCCTCGGAGTACTCGACGCTGGAGGCGAGCGCGCAGGACACCATACTGTCGCAATCCTCCTCGGCCTCCAACGCGGAGGTGCAGCGTCTGCGAGCCGAAAACGAGAGGCTGCACTTTGAACTGCTACAGTAAGCATTAAAATAAGTTTTAGACATAATTCAATATCGTTTAATGATGCTACCGTACCGTACCTGTACAGGGCTCAGGAGTACAGCAAGGAGCTGGCGATGTCGATGGAGGAGCAGCAGGCGCGCAACGCCACCAACATGAAAGCGGTGTTCAGCGAGGGTCAGCACATCACACGTCAGCACTACGAGACCCTCATGAGGGCATTGAGACAGGAGGTCTGTTAATAGCTCACTATACCAATAAATATCTTAAAACATATCAACATCTTAAAAAATTAGCGAATTCATTGAAAAGATGCGAAAATAGTGTTATTACAAAAGTATTTTCTTCCAGATGGAAGAAATGAAAGAGGAATATGAAGAGAAAATAAGCAAGCTTAGCTCACAAGCGCCAGCGGACTGCTCACCAACGCGTGACCTCAAAAACAACGTATGTCTTATTATTTTTATAGTATTGTAATAAAATTGAATAGTGAATAATTTTTCTTATTTCTTTTCAGGTATCGGATTTGATGAGAGAGATCGATAATCTTGAGGTAAGTGGAAATTGCTGCTTTGTGTAACTTTGTCTAATGAGAGATGTTTGATTATTGTGATATTGTAAATCAGGCAAAGCTGGCAGCGGAGGTGTCGGCGCGCGAGGGCGCTGAGCAGGAGGTGTGCAAGTTGAGAGCATATATTGAAGAAATGGAAGGTACATATTGTTCAAAAAAGTTTATACCAGAATGTACTTTTATTAATTTAAGTAATAGTGAAAAAACTAATAATTTTTTATCTACTTTAGAAAAAGTATCCAGTTGCGCGCAGAATAAATACGAAGAGGTGATATCTCTCACTGAAAGTGAAGATGATAGCGACGAGGATCCTTGCAATGAAAGTCTAGAGCCTGTCATTAGAAAGGAAAGAACTAGATTATTGAGACAGAGTCTAGCTTCTTTCTCTAACGTACTGAATGAAAGCGTGGAAGGAGCTGGTAACGGAACCTTTGATACAAACAACAGTGAAGTTGACGAAGGTACCTGTAAGGAAGACATTGAAGATAATAATGAACACAATAAAATGACAAGCGAGTTTCAAGATGAAAAAAGCTCTGAAAATAATGTTAAATCTTTTGGATCTACAGACAGAGGGATGTGTTTAATAAGCGAGCCTGAGATACTATTGAGCAGTAGCAAAACTGTCGAAGAGAAATATAATAAACGTGTACGCGAGACTTATTTTGTTAGGAAATCACAAGATGATAGTAAAACTGACGTATCTTCAGAACAAGAACAAGACAACGATGAAAGCGAGACTAATATTGACAAAGAGACTGAATTAAATGAAGAGAAAAGAAACGAGTTGACTTTGCCGATGTGTGATAGTCCAGTAAAGTTGGAAGAAAACTTAAACTTTAATAAATCGTCCCATGTAAATAAGGAAGTAAATGTCAGCAAAGATGAAGTAGAACGTGATCAAGAAATTAGCGAGGACTTAGGAGAGAATGTTGATGAAATGTCACTGACAAAATCTGATAAACCATCAGATTTTGCAAAGTCGCTACATGATAGTAATTTAGAGGAATCACTGCAAACTGAGAAAGAAATCGTAAACAATATTGGGAACAAAATTGAGTTTGAAATTCAAATCGAAACAAATAAAGAAAAAGCTATAGCAAATGTACCAGCGGCAACAAATAGCTTGGTGAATAAGATGTTTAAAAAATTACAATCAAACTCAGGTGAATACAGCTCTAATAATTCTTTAGCTCAATTTGAGCAGTTAGAAATGGAAGCGAATGATTTAAGCTTAGACCTTAAACGAAAAACTTTTGACGTTCTATCGAATATCAACATATTCAAAGAAAAGAAACAATTTTTTGACGAAGCAATACCGGAAAAGCCTGAAAACGTAATTTGTGAGGAACCTAACGATGAAAAGAAAGATACCACTGACAACGTTAATCTTGAAACTGAAAAAAGTGACAAACCATCGCACATTAAAAACTTGCATCATTTAAATAATGACGAATTCAGATCTCCGTCGATCATAAAAGAGGATTTTGTGTCTAATTTTGAACCTAGTACAATAAAAAAGCTTTTGGGAGAAAGTATTACACGACAATTTGATTCAGTGCCCATTTTGAAGTCCAAAAATTTTAACAAAAAACACGAATCTGTCGATCCATTCGATGACATGGATTCACCATACAAAGCAGTTGAAACTGTAGAGAAATCTTTCAATGAAATGAATTTGTCTAAAAGTAACGAATGTGATGTAAAATCTAATCCAGCACCTGATACACTTGAACAGGAATCTGATATTAAAAAACCTTTAATAGAAGAAACTTCCACACTATCCGCCGCGATTGAAAAGGAAACTAAAGTGGATAATACGTTAGACGCATTCGAAAATATATACAAAGATATATCTCAGCCAAGAGCGACCGACTTCGAACTATTAGTGGCGCAAGAAGAAAGCTCATGCAATAAAGAGGTTAACAAAGAAACAGCCAATACACAGGAAGTAACACAGGAAGCGACCGAAGTTAAATACAACTTGAGAAAAAAATTAACATGTAAAAATGATGATTCGGATAAAACTAATGAGATAGTCGCAAGAGCGAAACGCAACCTGAGACTGCGCCGACACAAGAAGCAGATGGAGGAGGAGGCTACGGAGCCGGAAGATGGCGCCAAGCTGAAGGACATCATCAACCTGCAGGTGCAGTTCTCCGACGTGACGCTGGGCAAGCCCGCGCCGGAGCCCCCTGCGCGACCCCCCTCCCCCGACCAGAAGGGGGAGGAGAACCTTCCCCCCCTCGGCATACAGAGCTGCCCCTCTAAGAGGTAAAATTTGACTTACAGTTGTACAATAATTATAACTCGTGTCCACGGTTGCCCATAAACGTGACTATAGATTTACAGGTGCCGGCCTTCAAATAGGAAAGGCGCTGAATCTAGAAAAGGACAACTTTGGGCTTTCACCAAATTATAATAGCGAAAGTAATGTAATTTAAATTAATGTTTTCTAGCAAGAAAAATGTTTGAATTGCTGTTTTTAGATGGGGTTTGGGTTTTTGGTGTGCAAATCAAATCTGTGGGTTAACTTGGTTAGCAAGATGTGTGTGTGTGCGTGTGTGATTTATGTGTATTTGTTTTACTAATTGTTTTCTTTTTTATTTAGTGTGACTCGCAGCAGAAGGAAATTGTTCACGCCTCGCGCGGAGCCCCTGGAGGATGAGTCTGGTCCGTGCGGCGAGAGCGGGGAGCGCCTGCGGGTGCCGCGCCCCTCTTACCATAGACCTAGAGCGCGCCGCAAGCTTTGAATTATCTATGCAACATAATAAAAAAAATCTTTGAAATTTTCTATCTGTAAACATTAAGGCACGGGACTTGCTATTGATACAAATAAACTTAGACGATAAATACGAAAATATATCTGACCTGAACAATTGTCCTTGTTTTGCATAAATATTTATTGTTACACTGTAAATATTTTGTTTCTGATTATATTGTTAAAAAATATTAACATTGACAAGCTTCGACTGAACATGTTTAATATCAATTTGTCCTCAAATCTCATGTCTATTTTCTTTTATTGCACTTAATTATATTTATGGATGTATTTTTATGCTTGGGTTTTATTTCACTATCCTTTCTGCAGTTCTTATTATTGAATATAACATCGTCTTATTAAAGTTATATCACCTAAAGACATTTATTCTATAAGGTTTGAAATAAAGGAAAATCAAATGTCACGATAGCCCGCCACAATAGTGGCGTATCTCACCGGGCCACTTCACTTAGTCCCATCAGATATTTTAATCAGTAATTTAAAAAAAATGTGCTCGATTCGATTTCATTCGATTTTCATATCGACTTAGGTAAATACTCTATGGCACTATTACTCATTTTTCAATCAATTTTAGTCATAAATCATTCAATATGTCAGTTCAGTCAGTTTTACAAATGTCGGATCGGTGCTTGTGTACAATATCTGGCTTGTTTATTTTTTGATTTTCACAAAATTAAACATTGCCAAGATAAATGAGACTCTCTTTTAGTTTGATGTCCTGATTGTTATTTATTGCCCTGTTGTTTTCGGGGCAGCATGCGCGAGGCATGTCATTGAAGAAAGTTTAATTTTTACGAAGCTTTGAAAATGTGATTGTTATTCGTTTTTGGCTTAGTGCCATAGTTTTAAACAGTTTTATGGGAAGCCAGCAAGATGCATCGATATTTGGTTGTGGTAGTGCTTCTGTTTTTCGATGGAGCGCTAGGTTATTGTCCGTCGCTATGCACCTGTAAGGGGAACAAATCACTGGAGGGGTCAACATCCGAACTTCAACCTGAAGAACCCCTCAGATTAAAATGTGGCGGGACTCCTGCTCAAATTACCGAGCTCAAGGAAATAGATCTTAGCAAATTATGGAACCTTGTTGTCAGTTTGTAAGTAGTTTTATGTAATGAAGTAAAACAAAACAATTATAGGCTTTTATGATTCTTTTAACAAGTAAGATTTAGATTATTGGTCGTCCAGCAGTTTAGATAAAAAACCAATGTTTGTACACATTTTATTAGATGCAGATGTCTGTTACTAAGAAATTAAAATCAGTCTTTATTTTGTCATGGATTTTATTGAGCGAAAAACATTTTTCATGAAATCTAAAATATATGTAATGAGGGATTCTTTATATGTTTTTTACCTTTTTATTTTAGGAATCTGTCTGGAAATGCTATATCAACTTTATCAAGGGAGCTCCATTTACCAAATCTACAGAAATTGTAAGTTAAATCTAATTGTCTAATTACTTTGATTTCATTTTGTTTGCATTTATTCCTTATTTTTACTTCTTTATTATGGTATCCTAGGACCCAAAGTTTTTTTTATTATTATGAAAGCAGTCCAAATTCAATTTCTTATATATTTCCCTTCAAAAATGTCTGTTCTTTAAAAAAATAATGTTGAATTATATTTCAGGGACCTCAGTAGAAATCAAATAAACCTTGTAGAGTCGGATGCTTTCTACAACATGACTTCTCTGCAGCGGCTGGACTTGTCCTACAACCAGATAAGCAATATCTACAAAGAAATGTTCAAAGGCCTCATCAACTTGGAGCGGCTCATTTTGACACAGAATCTCATATCAACACTATCTTCTGGCACTTTTGACTATCTTGTTGGATTGAAGCAGTTGTAAGTTTGTAATAATATTGCAGTTAATTTTGTATAAAACAATGTCTTTTGTAATTAATCAATAACATATTCTTTCACAGAGACATAACCGAAAATCCACTTATATGTGATTGTGAATTGTTATGGGTGGGAGATTGGTCCAGAAATACAAGTGTAAAACTCGCTGGCAACCCTAAATGCAGGTCACCTGAGAACATGGTCAACAAAACTGTTCGTAAACTGAAGATTTTTTTAGATCTATCCGCATGTGGTAGTGTGTTACCATCCAGTACTTTAATGGTGAAACCTATCCATGATCAAGTTGTATTCGAAGGAGACACTTTAATGTTAACTTGTAATGCACCATTCGCATCAGTGTTAGCTAAATATGAATTAAAATGGGTACATCCTATGCTGGAAACCTGCGATGTTAATGTAACTAATACTGAAATGCAAGAAGAGGGTATAGCGGAGACATCTGTCTTCTTTCCCAACATAACAAACCATCACATGGGTAATTGGACTTGTTTATACAGCGATCAGAATAGAATAAAACATAATCATACAGTCCAAGTACTAGTATTGTCGAACAGTACTCAATATTGTGAGACGAATCATACAGTAACCAATAAAGGCCTGTACTCGTGGCCTCAGCTTTTACTAAACCATACTGCGGTGGTGCCATGCCGCAGTGGTGAGGGGTCTGCATATAGGCAATGCTTCTCGAATGCCACATGGGGTCCGGTGAACACAACAGAATGCTCCTACATCAGTAATGTAACAAAGTTACTCCAACAGTTTGCATTACTAAACGTCAGCCTTGTTCAGTATTCAGCACTGAACGCTACAGAGAGGTTAGCAATGCTGATACAAGAGAAAACTTATCCCTTAGCAGAGATTAATGATCCAGACGATGTTATGTTTATAGCTCAGGCTGTTCGGAATTATATGCAGTACATGGTGGAGGAACGGGATTTAGGTGAGTTACATTTTTTTGTAAGTCAATCATCAGCTATAAATATCCACTGAGTGGCTAGGCCATAGTCAACCATGCTAGCTGATTGCTAGCATGGTTGACTATGCTATATCTTTAATTTATTCGCTGAGTTTGCTTCACGAAACATTAACCGTAAAAACGTTAAGTAACTAAATATATATCTAAGTCATAAAATACTTTGGTGTGGCTTTAACTACTCAGCTCGTAAATTTGTTAATTCCAGGTGCATCATTATTAGATGTAATCAGTTCTGCGATGAACATAACACCGTCAGTGATGACCAAAGCGGAGACTCTGTATGGTGCGTGTACAGACATGCTGCGAGCTGTAGAGGAGATCTCTGCCTATACCAACAATGTACAGGGACATAAGGTAATTTTTCTGCCGGATTTTTAGGTGCTGCTAAAGATTTCTCTTATATTTGTGACAGGTGTCACAGGTAGGATCAACCTGAAGGGACATCTGATGGTAAATAAGGAGCAAGTGGTAAACACTTTTCATTTTTTATGCCAAAGAGAATGTTTATCATTGTGAGGTATAGATTTTTTGATAAGAAAACTACCTAAACGTTTTAAAGTTCTGTGTGTGGGTGTTTAGTGATCCAGGAGGAAGAAACGTTTAGGTTCTTCCTCCTGGATCACGGCATGGGTTGTGATTCGTGTATTGTGTGACAACCAGGTGAAGTTGGCAGTGGAGAGGTTCGCGGTGCGCGAGGGTTTCAGCGGCGTGACGTGCGTGTGGTACAGCGCACACCCCGCGGAGCCCGCGCGCCCCGCGCACGCCCCGCGCCTGCACTGCTCCACCACCAACCGCACGGTGGCGCCGCTGCTCACCGTCAGCGACGCGCTCATACACGCCAGCGTGCAGGTACCTCGCACCCACACCGACTCTCACAGACACGCACCTTCCACGCACTCTGCTTCTAGCGCACGCAATACCTACTTTTGGTCATTATTATAATTGTAAGAACGTAATTAACTTACACATTCAGTACCCTGCCTCCCGCCTGAATGGCGCGCTTTTCAAATACGTCAAAATGACATTGACAGATGTCATAGGGATGGGATGTCTATGTCGATGATCTAGAGTTGCCCGATTTTCTTCTTAATGGTAAATGTAGTTAAGAGGATTGAAATTAAGTTTTTGAGACGTAATTTTAGTCTTCTTTCCCTTCACATTTTTTTAAGAATAGCAGGAATGTGGATATTACGGAGTAGGGGATGCATAGATAGGAGGAATATTCTCTTTCTATCTCTTCTCCATGTATGTGCAATCGATGTGCAAACCTTCAATCGCGAATGTCAATGGGCAGCGGTTGCTTCGTTATTTCGGCGAATTCAGATGGCCGATAGCTCGTTTATCTCCTTAAATTATATAAAACACAAGCACTAAAGGTCTTGTTTGCTAACTTGCAGATCCCCCAGTCTCTGGTGTACAGCAGCGTGTCCGGGGGGCTGGGCGAGCTGGTGGTGGCTCTGTACGAGGACGCGGCGCTGCTGC